CTCTCATCAGAAAAGAGGACTTTGGACCACTGAGCAACAGACCAGGTCTGTTTTTCTTTAGCCCAGGTAAGACGCTTCTGACGTTGTGTTGTTCAGGAGCGGCTTGACAAGAGGAATACGACATTTGAAGCCCATGTCCAGGATCTGTCTGTGTGTGGTGGCTCTTGATACACTGACTCCAGCCTCAGTCCACTCCTTTTAAAAGTCCCCAACGCTTTTGAATGGCCTTTTCCTGACAATCCTCTCCAGGCTGCAGTCATCCCTGCTGCTTGTGCACCTTTTTCCTTCACACTTTTCCCTTCCACATAACTCTCTATTAATGTGCTTTGATACAGCACTTTGGGAACATCCAACTTCTTTTGCAATTACCTTTTGAGGCTTTCCTTCCTTATGGAGGGTGTCAATGATGGTTTTCTGCACAACTGTCAGGTCAGCAGTCTTTCCCATGATTGTGATTCTTACTGAACCAGACTGAGAGACCATTTAAAGGCTCAGGAACCCTTTGCGGTGTTAAGGCTTAATTAGCTGATTAGAGTGGGACACTTTGAGCCTAGAATATTGCACCTTTTCACAATATTCTCATTTTCTGAGATTGTGGATTTGGGGTTTTCATGATCTGTAAGCCATAATCATCACAATTATGACAACTATCTTGCTTTGCATGTAATGAGTCTATCTCATATATTAGTTTCCCCTTTTAAGTTGCACTACTGAAATAAATTAACTTTTGCATGATATTATAATTTTTCGAGTTTCACCTGTAATTAAATTACTCTTACAGGTCTCTACACTGCATAGTGTTTGCAAGATCTTCGGTTTTGAAGCTCCATGCATTACTTGTGTTTTGTTAAGCTCCTTGTAGACGTTAGTATAGCACTATTTACAGGTCATAGATGGGTCGAAAATCGGCCAATTTTTCGGCCAAAAAAACAAAAATCGGCCGATTTTCACACCATTAATGGGTTAATTGGTCGGCCTTTTTCTGGATTTTGTCATTTTTTTTTGATCGTTAAAGTTGTAAAAAAAATCGTCCTATTTTGCCGATCGGCTGATTCTCGCGGCAATGATGGGCAAATCGGCCGATCTTTTTACCGATAAAAAATCTGCGCATGAGCCGTGACCTGCAAGGAAAAGAAGAAGAGGAAGAAAAGAAGAAGAAGAAAAAAAACTAAGAAGAAGAAAAAGAAGAATTCTAGTACGCTATTATATTTTACATGAAGGTATTGCGGTTGCAACATTGTATCTATTTGTATCCGAAAACCCCCCCATCTGTATCCAAAATGGATACAAATAGATACAATGTTGCAACCGCAATACTTTTTAATGTCAAATATAATAGCGGGGCTCTCTGCAGGGACAGAAGTAATTAAATGCCGGCCTTAGACAGGAAGAAAATTGGCCGATTTTTTTTTTTTTTTTTTTTTTTTTTTTTTTTTTTTTTTTTTTACTATTGGTGGTAACGTCGGCCTATTGAACGACCGATTTTTTTTTTTTGTTAAAAAAACGTCCGGTTTTCTCCCTGTCTATGGCCTGCAGTAGGCTATTAGCATTTTTTGAGCTTCAGCATCTAGGAGCAGAAAAAAAATAGTTTTTGTAGGGGTTTTTTGGAGCGTTTTTCCAGCAGACAAAGAATGCTCCTAAAAACGCTGCTAAACGCTAATAAAATACTACTAGCAGCTTTTTCCTAGTTTTTATTTTTCCTCTAGATGTACTGTAAAATGCTAATAAAACACAAATGATCCAAAACTCTTGTGAATGGTATTAAAAAAAATGCTATCACCAGTGTTTTTTATCCAGCATTTTTTCCAGTGTTTTTTGAGCTTGAGATTGTAACATTACATATATAGTCAGTTTCAGTTTGTGTTTCACCTAGCATAGCTCTACAATAATGATGTCTTTAATTTGCTGAATACATTTTAACTGGAGTTGTTTAACACAGTTTATACAGTCACATCTATCTATCAATGCCCTTTTGTGCTTTGTAGCTTGTATTAATCAAACACAATGCCTGGGATTTCTGTGAGGAAGCATGCATCATTTGTGCATAGTACAATGTTATACTGTGACGTAATTGCAGAGCGTTTTGGAGCCCTGACTAAACAACTTTGAACATACCTTATGTCTGTGTTGTCCTTTTCATGTTGCTTTATTTACTTTCAGAGATGCAATAAAAGATTTTCATTTTTCTTTTTATTTCTTTATTTCTGCTCATTGTATAAGTATACACTTTACTTTACACTCCCACCTGTCGTTCCTAACTGTGAGCAAACTCCGTGCCATAACATTGGCCTATTATTTATGGAAAACAATGTGGGTGTGTGATGAGAAATAGGGGGCTCTTTCTTTCTGGTACTTCCCCCTTTGCTTTATGGTGCATCCTCATACACAAGTCATGCATTGATAATTGGCCTGGCAGAGGATTTGTACAGCTAAATGATGAGATTTCCCTCTTCTGTCATCCGCCACACCACCGCCCCATGGATTCACAAAGTACAGTATGGCAATAAATCAACGTTTTCTTTCTTTGGTGCAGAACGCAGTCAGTTTGTATAGATTGTATGGTTCCTTTTTTTATAATGGTGTATTTCTAAACTATAAAAAAACAAACATTTTTTTACCTGTGATAAATTTAGTTTGAATTGGCTCCACTGGTACGAGACTCTACAAGTTTGAGTACCAGTATGGAATTTCTGCTACCCAGCTGAAAAACGCCATGCCAGTGTGGGGTGGTTGTACTCTTTTTTTTTTTTGTTTACTTTAACAAATAGAGAATTAAAAAAGGCACATCAAGGTTAAAAGGGCCTTTGAGAATGTAGGTGTGGGAAGTGCCTATGCTTACTTGGTTGTAAAAGAGCTTGGTCTGGTACTTTTTTGCCTGATTTTGTATGCCACTAATCCAAGAAACGTATGTGCGGTATTGGTGTTCAGGACAGTGTGAAGTTAGGGTCAGGTTGGTACAAGGCACCTTTACAAACAAGTGAGCAATGGCAGCTCCTATATGTATTGACAGGTTCCTCTTAAATCTTATGAATGTATTCAGTAAGATGAGGAGCGATATGTGGATTACAGCAGCCATTCAGTCAAGATTAACTTCTGATTAGTCTGCATTAAGAAGACTAAAATCTGATTTGATCATGGGGTTTCACTTTGCTTATGAACTTGTATCTTTTCCGTTTCTATTGAAAAAAAAGTCCTTGGAGTTTTCTTTTTTATGTTTAAAACATATATTTAGGCAAAAAAAAAAAAAAAAACCTCTCTGGAGCACATGTACATTTCCTTTTTGTTTTATTCATTTAAAGCTGAATACTAGGTCTGTTTTTTTGCATGGTTACATTGGTGCAGCTTGGCCTATGCCGAGTGGCTGCCCTGCTGTGTGAAAACAGGGTGTCGTGCTCATCAAGGATGCCATTCACAGAAAACCTTGCATTTATCTCATTGAATACAAGGTGGTGGTTGATTGGACGAGGTGGTGATTGTGAAGTTATCTCTGTTGCATACATTAAGAAAAATAAGGTGTTCCGTGAATGGTACTTGTGACAATCAAGAGACCTCCTGTCAATACTACCACTATTTATTTAATGTACTTACACAGCGCTGTTAATTGACGCAGTGCTTTACATACAGTATATTGTACATCCACTTCAGTCCCTCACCTTCAAGGAGCATAAAATCCAAGTTCCCTAACTCACATACTAGGGCCAATTTAGACAGGGGACAATTAACCATCAGCATGTCTTTAGATTGAAACTGGGAGTACCTGGAGGAAACTCACACAGGCACAGGGAGAACATGAAAACTCCAAGCAGGTAGTGTTGTGGTTGTGATTTGAACCGACAACCCTACTGCTGCTAGGCAGGGGTGCTAACCACTTAGCCACTGTGCTGCAAAGACAGCCATTCCACATAGGCCCCAGAAGATAGTGGTGACTACTGCAGAGGCTATCAGCTTCCACAAGGATCCCACAGGTAGGGCATATGCAAGCTATACTAATGTAACTATGCAAAAAAGCCATGTCTGGAATTCAAATTTAAACACATAGCAAGTGCAGAAGAAAAACTGATGTTCCAGAAATATTGTGTCTTGACATGACAACACAGCTCTGAATTCAAAATCATGAGTTTTCAGTACTGCCTATTTAATTTCTGATGGATTTCAATAATAAAATATGTCCATTGTTAGGGTTTACATGCAAACTTGCATGCCCAGATCATCTACCATTATTCCATACATCAAACACAGGTCCTGCTTTACAGTAACACTGGTATCTTTTATCCGACTGTATCAAATGCTATAACAAAATTCACTACGTCCAAAACCATAAAAAAAAAAAAAGTTTTGGCACTATACTTTGAAAATGGCAATTAGGACACATTTGTGAATCACCTAGATATTTATGAGGATGGACATTTCAAAATCAATAGTGTAAGTGGTTTATAAATAGTGGACTAGAACATGATATACTTCACCTCTTTAGTAGGTAGGTGATGGCCCTTGCCCGGTAAACATGACAACTATTAACCACATCCCTTCTGGTCGATGCATATATATGGCGGGACTGGAGCAGCACAATGCGAGAGGACGTAGCCATGTGCCGTCCTGTGTAAGAGGGTTCAGTTGCGTGATCTGTAACTGCTATGTCCACAGGACACAGCAGATCCGGGTACAGGGCCTCTGTCATTGGTTCTGTGCCATGTGTGATTGCTGTGATCACACCAGCACACAATGCATTCATTTATGAATGCAGCCCTTGTTAGTACTGTGATTGCTATGATTGGTCCATACAGGGAAAATTATATTGGCCTTGTACCGTGTATTATTGTGGCCAATCACAGCATCAAAGTAGTAAACCAAAGACTGCATTTATGAATGAATGCAGCCTTTGAGTGATATCAGTTAAATGACGTCTTACACAGTCACTATGACTGTATGATAAATTATCGTGAGAAAAAAAATTCACTGCCCCAGAACACTGCTCTGATGATTGCATGTGAAAAAAAAAATTAAAAGTGTTACTAAACCCACAACCGTAAAATCAGTCTGTATATACAGTAAAGTATGCTTGTTATACTCACTGTGGAACCTAAGGACTTAATCCCCCGCATTGTGTAAAAAGGATGTTGGATCATTTCTTCTCTGATTATCCCCTTCTTCCATTGTCCCCTAAATATCTCCTGATAGAACAGATATTTAGAATCACTACACATGCTCAGTTTGGTGTGTATTGCTAGAGAGGTTTTTTTTTTTTTTTGGGGGGGGGGGGGTGCATGTGATCAGCACAGGGCCAATCAGCACTTTCCAGACAGTTGTCAGGGGTTGTGCATTCTCTTAGACCAAAACAAAAGCTCCTCCTACAAGCTGTAACCAGTACTCTGCTGAACACTGATAGAAGTCACAAGACTGCTCTAACTGCTGATGAGAAAAGATATTTATCAGTTTATATTTACTAAAATAATTGCATTTCCATGTTCTGTGTACTGTGGGAGACGACATATGGTGAATGCAGGGTCCTGGGTTTAGTAACACTTTAAGCTATTGTCTCTGATCACCATCACAACAGTCCCAATGCAGCCAGATTAGTATACCTAGAAATGGTGTTCCTGATTGCTGCCACAACAGACCAGTGTAGCCAGAAACTGTTTTCTTGGTTACTGCCACACCAGTCCTAGTGTCACAGACCAGTACAGCCAGCAACAGTGTTTCCTTATTACCATCATACCAGTGCAGTGTTGCCTATGTCTGCTTCCTGTACTGACCCTGGCCTGCTTATTGACCACGTTTCTGCCTACTGCCTGGACCTATCCTTTACCTGTTTGCTGACCATGCCTCTGGCTGACGCCTAAACGGACCCATCTGCACTATCTTCTAACTATGTTCTTGTGAGACTCCAGTCCCAGCCATCCCCTGCTGACAACTGCACTCCAGGAACCACAGGAATTCTTTTGTTGCTTTCTTCAACCTCCTGTTCTTCTTGGCCAGTAAACATGGCGTTCCTGGGGCAGCCATGTACCTGTACACTAACCTTGCTTGGCTTGAAAGAACTTTTATAGTTGATGCTACACTAAACTATATTTCCAGGTCGCTCATACGGAGATGACCATTACAGCACATTGACTTTGATAGAACTGGTTGATTTATGTGATACACAAGATACTGTGCATTGTCCGGTACACAGCTGGTCCAAACAGTGAAAAAGTTTCACACATGTGGTTTTGCCATACTTGGAGTAGCAGAATGTGTTTTCGATTTGTGTAAAAAAAATTTATTTACATTTTTGTATTTAAATTTTTAGTTTAAAGTGTTACTAAACCCAGGACTCTGCATCCACTATATCTGGTCTCCCACAGTACACAGAACATGGAAATGCAATTATTTTAGTAAATATAAACTGCTAAATACCTTTTCTCATCAACAGAGCAGTCTTGTGGCTTCTATCTGTGTCCAGCCCAGCACTAGCTAAAGCTTGTAGGAGGAGTTTTCTTTCTGCTGTAGGAGGATGCAAAACCCTTGACATCTGTCTGATGAGTGCTGATTGGCCCTGTGCTGATCACATGCACTCTAAGAAAAAAAAAAACCTCTCTAGCAATACACACCAAACTGAGCATATGCAAATATCTATGTTTAGTCTGTCTTATTAGGTGATAAGAGGTGGTTGCTTGAAAAAGGGGAGGAACAGAGAAGAAAGGATCAAACAGCCATTTTACACAATGCAGAGGATTAACCCGTTAGGTTTTACATGGAGTATAACAAGCATGCTTTACTGTATATACAGGCTGATTTTACTGTTGTGGGTTTAGTAACACTTTAAAGTTTAACTAAAGGCAACATTTTTTTAAGTTTTAGAGTGCAGAGGGGTTAGAACACCTGTCAGATTTTTATTGGTGTCCGTGCCCCATTAAGGAGATTTACTCTCTCTCTCTTTGTCCTGTTTACCATTATCATTGAAAGTGAAAGCAAAAGGAAAATCCAAAATTTTGGGTTGTACCTAAAAAAGTAATTGAGGGGAAATCTTTCAATGGGGACACTAGTTCTGTTGACCTGGGGGTCCCCAAGAAATTCCCTGAGATTTCCTCACACTTCCTGTTTGGCTATGGGACAGAATGTGAAGGGAAATCTCCGCAATACAACACAGACTGTGAAAAAAAAATCTGACGGGTTATAATCCTCCCTTTTTCTACCCAAAATGAAAAACGTTTTGGCTATAGTTCTACCTTTATACATGTTTCATTTTCTTTCCACATTTTCTAAAAACTTGTGGCAAAAATTTTTTTCAAAAGACTTACTATGCTTTTCAAAAAAAATGTTCATTTTGTGGATGTTTCCACTTACTGGTGCTCCAGGCTCTCCAAATGTGATAGATAAGTCAGGAAATTAGATGTATAAACAAACTTTATTACATTTCTTCATGTTACAAAAATATTTTGACAAAAAAAATTACAAATTTTTTTTATGGAATACTAAATTACGTTGGACTGTCTACTTTCCAAAAAGGGGATAATTTGGGCGATATTTATACTGTCTTGGAATTTTAGTGTCTCTAGTACTCTAGTTTGTAGACTATATAACTGTCACACAGACTAAATAAGATACACCTATTTGTTTTTTTTTTTTCACCAAAGAAATGTAGCAGATTATATTTTGACCCAAATTTATGAAGAAATATGTTTTTTTATTTACAAACTGATGTTTTTGTCAAAAATTTTGGTATTTTTTTTCCTTTTTATATAGCAAAAAATAAAAAATCCAGTGGTGATTAAATGCCACCAAATGCTCTATCTGTTAAAAAACAAAAGAAAGATGTAAAATTAATTTGGGTACAATGTTGCATGCCTGTGTAATTGCCATTCAAAGTGTCACAGTGCTGAAAAATTAAAAATGGCTTGGAATGGAAAGGGGTAAAAAATAGTCTGGTTACGATGACTGGGCTAAGATGACAAATCACTCTTTCACAGTATAACAGCTATGCAGTTCAGCTTCAAGCGCAGAGCTCGCACCTGTTAATGATTGGCACCTTTGGGGAGTGGTGGGGAGCGGGTACCTGATTTTGACAGGTACCCGCTCCCATTTCTGCCCTGACCGCCTAGGCGATCGGAAGCGTAAGTTTTCCTCAAGCCCCCCCAAGCCTTCTGGGACATGTGATAGTCCCAGATGACTGTGGAAGCAGCCGGGGGACAGAGGACGGCCAGTGAACCTGGCTGCGTTGAGCACACTGCTGGATCGGGACAGGTGAGTGGTTGTTTTTTTAAAAGTCAGAAGCTACAGTTTCTGTAGCTGCTTACTTTCATTTTTTTCACTGGAGACTGGAGCTTCTTGCCCATGTTTACTCATAAGCATTGCAGAAATACATACAAAATGAATAGGTTCCCTTGCAGAGGTAAGTAAGCACAGTCCAATAAACAGCAAAATTATTGTCCTGGCTAATAGACCACACTTGGTCTGCTCATTCCAGCAGACATATTGGGGTTTACTTACTAAAGCTGGAGAGTGCAAAATCAGACTCACTTCTGCATAGAAACCAATCAGCTTCCAGGTTGTATTGGCAAAACTTAATTGAACAAGCTGAGTTTAGAAGCTGATTGGTTTCTATGCAGAAGTGAGACGAATTTGACACTCTCCAGCTTTAGTAAATCAACCCCATTCAGTCACAGTCCACATGCATCCTTTTCCAACAACACGGATCATCCCTGGAAAAGACAAATTATACCCTAGGTGGGAGAACCCCAGGTATACTGCTACCTACCTTTCACTGCCACCATTTTATAGCATGGAATGATAGAACCCGATGCGGGTAGGTACACTCCATCCACAACTCGGTGACCGTCGCACAGCTAACATCACCGTGCCAATGTGTGCTACAGTTACCTATAGTGGAATGTAGAATGCTTTGCTTTCTTGTCAGCCCACTTTACAGATAAAGTCGAATGGGGCTTCCTCCTATCCACCTTGAGCAGATGTCTGAATAGTCAGTTTACCTCAGGGTCTTTCCTGATCACTTCAAGCAGCTGTTAGCATATCCAAAGGAATGTGTACATTGTTCTGAACAGGGGTATTTATTTTGTCTGAACTGTATTCAGTATGCATATCTGTAGTTGGTGTGGTCTGCAGTCGATGTGGTAATCCTGCTGCAGAAAAAGGAGCAGCGTCTAACAAAGTAAAAAAAAAAAAAAAAATTAAACTGCCCAGCACATTAAGCAAGACTTTTGTAATAGACTAAGCAAGTGACCAGCCCAGCAAACATCTAAAATAATTGACCTATATCCTATTTTTGTAAAACTGAAAGTGTCTAAGTTCTGTAAAAGCAGGGACTGAAATATAGCCCATCGTAATAACGTGATCTCCAGAAATCCTCACATAACCACATTTCAATGTAATTAGTGTGGTTTATATGCCAGGTAACTTGTTCTGTACTACAAAAGAATCATAGGCTGTAAAATGACTGTCGAACAATTATGAGGGAATGGTTGCTTAATATGTGCTAATGTGCACTTCTAATATTCTAGGTGTGTTCCATCCAGTATGCTGTGTGTAACCACAAGGATGCACTGAAAATTGCTGTCACATTGCTCACTGTGGTGCAGAACATTTGCTTCAAGATCAATTGGGAAGACATGTCACAGAAAATGTATTCGTGGCAAGAGATTTGGTTCTACAGAAAATAAGAAACAGACGCTCCTGACTGGAGGAGCTTATAGTCAACTCAATGCATTATTTAATATGCAGCACATTAATGCAGTCAGAAGACAACCATTTCCATGAAGGGACTCTGATAATCAGCAGACAGGTGCACATACAGCCTGGACCAATTTTGGGGTAAGTGACAGTTTGGGGTACATGCTGTAATATTGGTATTGTGACTCAATGAAAAAAAAACCCTTGATGTCTGAAGAATATTTTTAGAAACATGCTGAAAGGATACAAAAATGTCAACTGTCAGACAATCAGTCTATAATATCTTTACTAGAATCTAATGTATTTTATGACTGAACATTTACGAAGCAGTTCCCTCTTTTTGTTATAGCAAGTGAAATTAGCTCATAATTAAAAAACATTCATTATTATTAAAGGCCAAATTCCCAGTAAAAAAAAAGTACTTGGTCATGCTGCAGTTTACCAATTAGATGACAGTAATCTTTGCCTTGTCTGTCAGTGTTCAGCTTATTGTGTACACACTAAGGGCTCATTTACCCTCCCATTTGAGGCACAAAAGCAACAAACAGTGGTGTCCACATGCCACAGGTGCAATGCTTTGCTTTGTGGCAAGAATTAAACTCCCGGTCACTTTTAAGCTCAGGTCAAGTGAATTGAGGCTGAGCTGCAACCTCCCTGCAACTCTGGTTTTTAGGGGTTAAAATTAGGCGGTCGGGAGGTGACATATCGGCTTCTAAAATGCGATCATGTCAGATTGCACTTCAGATGGCTAACGCTAGTGTCATCTAAACACCACCAAACTTCTTAATGATAAACCACACAGCACCTCGGTGTACAACAGGGAGGCTTACCAGAATCATATGACCCCCAATTAAGAGTGGTCAACCAGGACTTGTGTATCAATCCAAGATATCCAGCTTTGAGGAAAACTGAATATTTTGGATTGATACACAAGTGCTGGTTGACCACTCTTAGTTGGGGTTTATATGATTCTGGTAAGCCTCCCTCTGTTGTACACTGGGGTGCTGTGTGGTTTATCATTAAAGTGTTACTAAACCCAGAACCCTGCATTCACTATATCTGGTCTCTTATAGTACACAGAACATGAAAGTGCAATTATTTTAGTAAATATAAACTGCTAAATACCTTTTCTCATCAGCAGTATATAGCAGTCTTGTGACTTCTATCAGTGTCCAGCAGAGCACATGTTAAAGCTTGTAGGAGGAGTTTTCATTCTGCTCTAGGAAGATGCAGAACCCTAGACCTCTGTCTGGACAATGCTGATTGGTCCTGTGCTGATCACATGCACTCTCCCAAGAAAAAAAAAACCCTCTAGCATTACACACCAAACAGAGCATGTGCAGGGTAACTCCAAATGATATGTTTTATCAGGAGATAAGAGGGGGACACTGGAAGAAAGGGAGTATCAGTGAAGTCAGAATCAAACAGCGTTTTTACACAATGCAGAGGATTAACCCCTTAGGTTCCACAGTGAGTATAACAAGCATGTTTTACTGCATACAGACTGATTTTACTGTTGTGGGTTTAGTAACACTTTAAGAAGTTTGGTGGTGTTTGGTATCCACATCTGTCATTTCTCTCATATTCGAAGAAGCACTGAATTCACAGTAATTGGCTTCATATTTGGATTCCTTTGTTTTATTTTTTCAGTTTGTGGTGACACATAAGAGTTTGATATGTTTTCATTGCACTGTTGTGTTGCACATACATTTTTTAATTTATCCTAGTGCTGCACTATTGTTTTGTGATGTTTAATATGCTGTTTTATGGTATTAGTGCTAGATGTTTTTTTTAACTTCCAACAGAGCCCTATTCTATATTTTTTTTCTTCATTCTTATGCTAGTGTAATCTAGCCCTAAGTGCAATGTGATTATAGGCTTTAAAAAATTAAAGTGTATCTCAAGGAAAAACCTTTTGTTTTACTATTATATAGCATCGGAAAGGATTAGTTCCTCTGTACAATATTTGTCTGTTTCCCCAGTGGGGATATTCACCCCTCTGATTATCCTGGTGACCACTGTTATAGAAAAAGTGGGAGAAAATCCCAAATTTTTGAGTTGTCCCTAGAAAAATAGATGAGAAAAAACTTTCTGATATGCCTAAGAGGGGACTTCTGTTAACTGTTGGCGTTATCTTCTCACTTCCTGTTGTTCTCTAGGACAGGAATTGAAGAGAAATTTTCCCAGTGGTACAAAGACAGCAAAAATATTCTGACGGGTGTTAACCCTTCATAAAATATATACAATTTAAGATAGATCATTTGCTATTATGTGTGTGGCCAGTATCCTAATTTTGAATTCTTCACCTTCATGATCCCTGCCTTATACCAAAATCTAGGCCCTACCAAAACAAAACCCACAATTCAGGTAGTCCATTGGAAATTGAAAACAAAATTGTGAAATCAGAATGTAAAGTATGTGGCCAACGTTAGAGTTTGAAAACACAGTTGCTTCTGTTACCAGTCTACTTTAAATATACCACTGAAAGCATTTTATTATATCTGCTCCATAGGAGCAAAAAGAAAAGTCTGTCAGTCATGTTAGAACTTTTCCAGTCAAGGTCTACTTTTAAAGAACACACTCAACATCCCATATGCTCATAAGGAAACACAGAGAGACTCCATAGTGCTTACTGACTGTGTATTAAAATAATTTCAAGCTTCTCCAAATGCACTCACATAGTTAAAAAGTATTCATGCATATAAACAGGAAACTTCACACAAGTTACCAGTACATAGATCTGATCTTTCTCACAGTGGGACGAGCGTGATGACATCACAAGATCCTCCCCGTCTGATGCGTTTCATCCCTTCAGACTTTCTCCAAAGCAGTTATTGCATTTCTGCCTTGTCCCTTGCGTAGAGAGATTTCTCCAGATTCTCTGAATCATTTGTTGATTTTATGTACTGTAGATGATGATATATTTAAAGTCTTTGCAAGTTTACTTCGAGGAACATTATTCTGAAATTGTTTGACGATTTTTAGATGCAGTTTTTCACAAATTGGTGAACCCTCTGTCCATCTTTACTTCTGAGACACTGTTTAAGATGCTCTTTTGATACCCAATCATGTTACTGACCTGTTGCCAATTAACTTAATTATTGTGAAATCTTCCTTGTTAGCACTAATTACTTTGCCAGCTTTTTGTTTCCCTGCCCAAGCTTTTTTAAGATGTGTTGCTGCCATCAATTTCAAAATGACCCTTCTTTTTTCTAAAATTGGTACACTCAGTTTAAACATTTGATATGTTTCCCTATTTTCTATTGTGAATTAAATATAGCTTTATGAAATTTGCAAATTATTGCATTCTGTTTTATGTAGATGTTACACAGCATCCCAACTTTTTTGGAATTGGGGTTTTATATGGTTTAGAACACATAAGTTGAAATATATATATATATATATATATATATATATATATATATATATATATATATATATACAGTTGCAAGAAAAAGTATGTGAACCCCTTGGGATTACGTGGAGTTTTGCATGAATTGGGCATAAAATGTGCTCTGAACGTCGTCTAAGTCACAACAATAGAAGAACACAGTCTGCTGAACATAGTACTACACAAACATTAGATGTTGCCATGGTTTAATTGCACATAACATGTAAACATTTCACAGTGCAGGGAGGAAAAAGTATGTGAACCTTTGGACTTAATAACTGGTTGACCCTCCTTTGGCAGCAATAACCTCAACCAAACGTTTCCTGTAGTTGCAGATCAGACCTGCACAGCAATCTGGAGTAATTTTGGAGCACTCCTCTTCACAAAACTGTTTCAGTGTAGCAATATTCTTGGGATGTCTGGTGTGAATCGCTCTCTAAGGTCATTCCACAGCATTTCAATCGGGTTGAGGTCAGGACTCTGACTGGGCCACTCCAGAAGGCGTATTCTGTGCTGTTGCAGCCATTGTTTTGTTGAATTACTTGTATGCTTTGGGTCATTGTCCTGTTGCATCTCCCATCCTCTGCAGAGCTTCAGTTGGCGGACAGATGGTTGTACGTTTTCCTGCAAAATGTCTTGATAAACTCTGGAATTCATTTTCCCATCAATGACAACAATCCGTCTAGGCCCTGAGGCAGCAAAGCAGCCCCAAACCATGATGCTCCCTCCGCCATGTTTTACAGTGGGGATGAAGTTTTGATGTTGGTGTGCTGTGCCTTTTTTTCTCCCACACATAGTGTTGTGTGTTCTTCCCAAACAACTCAATCTTGGTTTTCATCTGTCCACAGTATATTTTGCCAGTAGTGCTGTGGAACATCCAGGTGCTCTTTTGTGAACTTCAAACGTGCTGCAATATTCTTTTTGGACAGCAATGGCTTCCTCCGTGGTGTCCTCCCATGTACTCCATTCTTGTTTAATGTTTTCCTTATTGTAGATGTGTCAACAAAAATGTTAACATGTGCCAGAGATTTCTGTAGGTCTTTAGCTGACACTCTGGGATTCTTCTTTACCTCATGCAGCATTGTGCGCTGTGCTCTTGCAGTCATTTTTACAGGATGACCACGCCTAGGGAGAGTAGCAACAGTGCTAAACTTTCTCCATTTGTAGACAGTCTGTCTTACCGTGGACACATGAACATCAAGGCTTTTGGAGATACTTTTGTAACCCTTTCCAGCTTCATGCAAGTCAACAATTCTTGATCGTAGGTCTTCTGAGAGTTCTTTTCTGCGAGGCATGGTTCACATCAGACAGTGCTTCTTGAAACCAGTAAACCCAAAACAGGTGTGTGTTTTTTAAGGGCAGGACAGCTGTCAGCAACACATCCAATATCATCACACTGATTGGAGTCAAGGTTGGCTCACTCCTGGCTCCAATTAGCTCTGGGAGAAGTCATTAAGCTAGGGCCTCACATACTTTTTCCTCCCTGCACTGTGAATGTTTACATGTTATTTGCAATTAAACCATGGCAACATCTAATGTTTTTGTAGTATTATGTTCAGCAGACTGTGTTGTTCTATTGTTGTGACTTAGATGACGTTCAGAGCACATTTTATGCCCAATTCATGCAAAACTCCACATAATCCCAAGGGGTTCACATACTTTTTCTTGCAACTGTGTATATATATATATATATATATATATATATATATATATATATATATATATATATAGGCTTTATTTGCGTATACACCTTTTAATATATGAATAATTTTTTGGGTAAAATATGATTGGCAGTTATCTATAATTCATATAAAGTATCGCACAGAAGTGCGTACACTCCTCACATTTTTGTAAATATTTTATTATATCTTTTCATGTGACAACACTAAAGAAATTACACTTTGCTACAATGTAAAGTAGTGAGTGTACAGCTTGTATAACGGTGTAAATTTGCTGTCCCCTCAAAATAACTCAACACACAGCCATTAATGTCTAAACTGCTGGCAACAATAGTGTCCAAATTGGGCCCAATTAGGCATTTTCCCTCCCTGGTGTCATGTGACTCGTTAGTGTTACAAGGTCGCAGATGTGTTAAATATGGTTTTATCGCTCTCACTCTCTCTTACTGGTCACTGGATGTTCAACATGGCATCTCATGGCAAAGAACTCTGAGGATCTGAAAAAAAAAATTTTTTGCTCAACATAAAGATAGCCTAGGCTATAAGAAGGTTGCCAAAATCCTGAAACTGAGGTGCAGCACGGTGGCCAAGACCATACAGCGGTTTAACAGGACAGGTTCCACTCAGAACAGGCCTTGCCATGGTCGACCAAAGAAGTTGAGTGCATATGCTCAACGTCATATCCGCAAACCGTTTGCTGAAGACAAGTGGACTAAGGACATGGGTTAGTGGAACCATAAGATAAACTTATTTGGTTCAGATTGTGTCAAGCGTGTGTCGAGGCAACCAGGTGAGGAGTACAAAGACAAGTGTGTCTTGCCTACAGGCAAGCATGGTCTGGGGCTGCATGAGTGCTGTGGGCACTGGGGAGCTACAGTTCATTGAGGGAACCATGAATGCCAACATGAGGGTTAAGCCAAGAGGGTTAAGGCAGTGCTGGAAAATAATGGTGGCCACACAAAGTATTGACACTTTGGGCCCAATTTGGACATTTTCACTTAGTGGTGTACTCACTTTTCTTGCCAGCGGTTTAGACATTAATGGCTGTGTGTTGAGTTATTTTGAGGGGACAGTAAATTTACACTGTTATACAAGCTGTACACTCGCTACTTTATTATTATTATTATTATTATTATACAGTATTTATATAGCGCCAACAGTTTGCTCAGCGCTGTACATTATAATGGGAGACCGTACACGAGACAGTACAGTAACAATACAGTACAATACACGAGGGGCTCGAGGGCCTTGCTCCTTGGAGCTTTTAATATAGGAGGGAGGGGAGATTGGTACAGGAGGAAATAGCTGTGGGGGGGGATGGAGTGGTGGGAAGAACGGAGAAGATCAGCAATTAGGT